ATTACAGTAAAAGAGAAAATAGAACTATGAAAACAAATCAAAGAACTTCGAAGCAAGATACATAACCAAAATCATCACACAATCAATATCAAAGCTCTCCAAAGTTGATAATCATACTTAGTGATGCATGCATTTTATGGACCAAAGTAGCATTTAAACAGTAAAAATACAAAAAGGTGGAACACAAACTCCCTTAATAATGCCAGAGAAAATTTGAGATAAAAATGTCCTTATTTTGACATATTACTAACAATTTATTCCCCCTATAAATATGACAAAGCAAAACAGGTAGTAATTGTACAAAAGATTTAAACAAAGTTATTGAGTTTGAAGCCACAGAATCTGAGTTATCTTTAAATAAAAAAATGGAATATAAGAGATATTTACCTTCAATTCAAACGACTTCAGATCACGTGTAAGCTGCTCAGCATTGATTCCCTCACGTGCAAGTAGCCTTCAAATGCAAAAAAGACAATCTATATATTCCACAGGTAAAACAAAAAACCTTGGGGAACTAAACAAATGTTAACCCTTCAAATAGTTGTTAAAACCCAAGTTTGCAATATAAGGTTCCAAGCTAACACATTCCTCTTACTTTCACAGCTAACAATCTGTCCGTTTAACTGACAGCGATTACGAAAATCGCAACAACCAATTAAGTAATTCAAATTATAAATTACCTTGTGGCAGCAATAGATCGAGAAGGAGCCTCAGTTCTTAAGGTTTTTGCCTTGAGCTTCTTCGATAGTGCTTCCAATTGATCTAAGTTTCTCTGAATAAATATAATTGATGAACCCAATGTCAATGAAAACCAGATGCATGGATCTATATTACTAATAAATTTCCTTTTTCAAACAATAATCTCAGCTGAGATGGATACCAACTGAAGCTTCATTCAGTTAAAGAAACTGAAGACAAAATTTTGAACATTTGATTTTCAATTTCTTTAGACCAACAAATAGGTTTTTAATACTAATACTTCTTTTCCAAAAAAAAAGGTGGTTTTTAATACTAATATAAAACAACAACTCAAAGGTTCTTAAAATACAGACACTTCTACAAAATATATTGCTATAATTTATTGACAACATCAAAGATATAGACAATTCATTTTAATATCATCAATTTAATAACTAATAACAGTAATACCAATAGATAAATCAATATTTACAAATATATCAAGATCCTGAAACAATAGATATATGGTTAAATACATTGAATATTGTGGATATCATAATCCATGACTTCAAGCAACTGAAACATGCAAAACCAGAAGGCCTAGTTTGGGGTGAACTTTTCATCCTCTATTCTTATTATAACAAAATGGATGAACAAATTCAAAGCTAAATTTCATAGCACTTTTCTTGTTATGTGTAACCAAGTTTTTTGGCCAAAATGTCTATAACCTGTTTCTTCCCCTCCAGAATATATTTCCAAAAACCAATTTTCTGGTGAAGAAAATGAATTCCCATCAATGACTAAAAGAATATTAAGTCATTTCTTATCCTCCAATCAGTTTAGTTTTGAAAGCAATAAACAGATTTGACTGAGCCAGGGTTTTCTATTTAGCTAAATTTCTCTCATCTAAAACATTAACAGATATTTAAGTTCAAAGTCTTGATTTTTCATACTTTCATTTATTTCTGCAGCACAGAAACACAGTATTAAAAGAATTAATGACATAAACCACATTAGCTGAATTAATCTCCACAAGGAAACATTTATATCATTGGGGCTTGCAGTAGGAAATACATGAGAACACATTGGTTCCGTTGCCTATGCTGTACATTCTGAATCATTACAAAAAAGCTGAGGGACAAGCCAGATTACTGGCGGACTAACATTTAGCAGAGCTTTTTGTTCTCTATTCCTTGAACAATGAAAGATAATAAAACCCAAACAGATTCGTAACTTCATGTTATTCTAATGCATTTTCTCACAACCGGACAATAAAGGACAGAGGAAACCTTAATTAGACTCAATTAAACAAAGGTCCTTTTCATTTTAACTTACACCATAAAAAAAATGAAAACTTGACGTTTTTAACAGTCTTTTCCTGTTTAAAAGCTACCAAAATCCAAATAAAGCATTGAATTGATTATGAACAATTCATCTTCCTTACTCAGATAAGTATTTCTCCTTCCCAGGCAACTGAATGAAGCATTAAGAGTTACATTCATCCAGTCAAGTATACAAGATAGAACCACATTCTCCACTCATAAAAGTAGAAAATGTTTCTGAACTATCTAAAATAAATACTCAAAGATCAGACTATCAAATACCAGCTTGAAGTTTCTTTCCTCAAACCATCTAAACCTAGAAATAAAGATTTTAGAACTCATTGCTTCAACCTCACTACTGTTGCTTCAATTTCCTTAGCACCAAACTTATCGCTTTCTTTTCGTTCCCTACATTTTCTAACATGAACTCATGATTTCCTTTCCTTGCTTTTTTTCAGCGAGCGACAAAAGCAATAGGAAATGTAAATAAAAGAGAAAAGAAGCACCTGAAAATGAATGAGGCTTAAGATAATTTCAAAAAATTTCCATTTCACAAATATATATATAGATGAACCATAGAAGACTTTCTCCACTTGAACATTTTTCCAATTTCATTACCTTTCCTTCGTTTTCTAGGCATCCAAACATAGCAACAAGCTAAAGCAATCAACATTTTCCCGTTTAACCGTCACAATAAAATCCAAATTATTTTCGTTTTTCCAACGTTTTTCTCGATTTTTAAAAATTTGAGAATTTGAAGCATCTTTTCTGCAACATTTTTCCATTTTACAGGAAAAGGAGGAGAAAGTGAAGAGAGGACCTGAAGAGGAGGAAACTGAGCAGAAGGAGCGGCTTGCTCGAGAAGCTTGGAGGAAGAGTGGAGAAGATCGGTCCAGCTACTCATGTCTTGCTCACTCGCCATCGCCCCCCTTGGTCCTTTGGGATTGTGATGGGAGGGAAAAAACTGGGTTTTAGCCTTTTATGCTAAAGCCCTAATTTTTAAAAACGGTCATACAGCTTTCCCTTATTATCGAGGGAGCAGCAGCAGGAGCAGCCAGCTACCCCACTCGGTTTGGCCTATGGACCATTGAGACGTGGGCTCCGCTCTCGTTCTTGTATTAAAAATTTCATTAAAATAAATTTAAAAGCAAGTTTAAATTGTATAAATTTATTGACATTTTTGTTTATGTTTAAGTAATAGATCAGTTTGTCTTAAATTTGGTTTAGATTTCTTTTTTACTATTATTTATGACTTTAGATTATTAAATTTAAAAGATCATATTGCTCTCTTCATTTCTTCCTTCTTAATACTTTATTTAAAAATTTCTAAATTAATTTTAAATTATTTTTTATTGGCATAAAACAAATTTATTCTTTACTTATATCAAAATATGATCAAATATTTTTTCAATCAAATAACTAAGGTGGCGTTTGGTATCAGAGATGTAAGCCACATTTCCTGCAATGTGGCTTATTAAATTACATTGCAGTGTTTGTTTTGTAACAGATCACTGCAATGTAAGATTGTAATACAATCACATTGCAGCCAATGGATGTAATGTGATTACAGTCCAAAACCAATGCAATCACATTACATTGCACTCTGCAATGTTCTTAAAGACAATTTTACCTTTCAACTTTATTATCTTATTAAAAATATTTTATAATATTATAATTAAAATAAATATATAATATAAGAATAAAAATTAAAATAAATATATAATATAAGAATAAAAATTAAAATAAAATAAAATATAAAAAATTAATATTTATATAATATAGATAAAACAAATTAAAATAAAATATATAATATAAAAAATATATTAAAGAAATGAAAATAAAATATATAAAATTATAATAATAAATAAAAATAAAATATATGACATTAAAAATATATTTAAAATATGATATTATATAAAAATTAATAATATAAATATAAATATATTAAAAATAAAATATAAATTATTATAATAATAAATAAAAATAAAATATATGATATTAAAAATATATTTAAGAAATGATATTATATAAAAATTAATAATAAAAAATATAAATATATTAAACTTATATTTTAATAATTAGGGGTAATTTTGATAATTAACATTACATTCCCACTAAAGTACTTGTAAACCAAACACTGCAATGTTATCGTCCCTGCATTTTAATCATTATTTTACTTATATACCAAACACTGTAATGTTATTTTCCCTGTAATCACATTGCTTGCAATCACATTACTTGCAATCACGTGTAATCACATTGCATTGTAATGCACCAAACGCTACCTAAATGTATTTAGTATTAAGAATTTGTTTGTTTTAATTTTTTAATTTAAAAATTATAATAAAATTATTATAAAATATAATAATTTTTAAAATTAAGCTACTATTGATCGAAAATACCCCTCTCAACTTTTCAAAAAGTATTTTCTTTGTCAATCTATTTTCCTCCTTTTTAATCTTTTTTATTATGCAAATCACTTTTTTCTAATACAAATCATGTTCTTTTTTTCATTTATCTTTCTCTATAAAAATTTAGCAACAAAATAACAAAATTTAATTTTTTTTATTCTCATAAAAGTTAAAAAAAAAGAATATTCAAAAATTAAAATTACATTTAGGTAATACTTAAAAGTTTTCTTTTTTTTACCAAAAATTATTTTAACATCAAATACATTATTTCCTCTTTTCTAGTCTTACTTGAAAAATTTAAACATTATAATCCGATCACTTACTATGTTAACAAAAATTTAGTAGTATTATTATATAAAATTTAAAAATTGTTTCATTTTTTATATAAATTTTTTATATTTATATTTAAAATAATATATAAATTCGAAATAAATTTATTTTACTTGATATATTAATTGATTGAAAATGATATAAATAATTAATTTTACAAATGAAATGAAGAAAACAAACACTAACCCAATTAAATAGCTAGGGATTCACCTTGTCTAATTCTTTTGACGGCAAGCCTACCCATAAAACAAAACCAATTAAATAACAGAAAGCAGAGCTAAAATTAATTACAAACCAATTAAATAGCATAAAGTAGAGCAAAAATTAATTGAAGAAAAATAATGAAATAAAGAAGTTGATTTTTTTATTTAATTTTGTTTGTGTAAAATAAAAAAACTGACAGGCACGGGTAAGTGTAATCTTTGCCCATCCGCCAAACAGCAAAGGCCTGAAGGTCGATCGGTTGGAGAGGAAGAGAAATGACGAGGGCTACTCAAATCTTACGCAAAGGCGGCAAAGCTCTGGAGGATTTCAACTTGCTTAAAGTCTTGCAATCTGAAATATCCCACGAACTCTCCTCCAATTCTTTTCAGGTTCTTTTATTTTTCCTTGTCTTTTTCCCTTCTCATTTATAGACATAAATTTCACTGTTTAAATTTGACGACTGATTCAGTTATTAATGGATTTAGGACTTGTTTGTTCGATGAACTTTCTGGGAATGCAATGGTTAATCATCAATTTGATCATTCTCTTGGGTTTTTCTTTTTTTTCGTTTATTGAAGAGGTGTTTACTAGAAACCGAAGGGGTCTGTTGCTTTGTTCACTGATTTTTAGGCTAAAGAGCTTATGATTGAGAATGGGCTTATCATGAAATTTAAGATTACTTAACTAAATGGGTTTTTCTTAAAATACAGGAAATTTAACTGTACATTGTTGTCATTCTTTTTCATTTTAAATCAACTATGATTTTGCTCTCCACCGTTGCTTTTGCGTTTTTTAGCACATTTAAAGAAGTAAAACGCAAATAGCAAATGAATGGCTGGCAAAAACAACCAAGTGGAGTCTCATCTATCCTCTGGTGCATTCAATTTTAATACTTGGAAATACAATGGACCCAAATGATTTTGCAGAATCTGATCTTACTCTCATCATTTAGATCTCAGTCAAGACATTATATGACTTTGAATAAAGAAAAGTAAGCACACTTATATTGTTAAAGTTTCTCACACTGCAGTGGGGATAGCTCATTTGTTTTGATGATAGTTTATAGTTCATCTTGAAGTTTAAACATCTTAAAAACTTATGTCCCGCAGTTATAGCATTATTAATTTGGGAGAAATGGGTGTGTTATATATTGAATCAGGATATCAAGAGCGGCTCTCTAGGAGATTTTGTATTGGACTGGAATTCAGCACAGTCACATGATGTTGTTTTGCGGAGAAAAAGTGAGTCTGGTGAAGAGGTTGCTGTTTCAGCCTTGTTGGGCCACGAGACACGTGATAGCGAGGGTAAATTTCCAAGGGAAGTTTTCATGAAGGTTTGTGTAAGAAAGCCTGGCTTGAGTTCTATGTTGCAGTTTGATTGTGGAGTTTCTGAGAAAGGTGTTCATGGATCTGACTTTAACATCCATAGCGCCTATTATCTCCAATCATCAACCATTCCTAATTCTTCAATCTACCGGGGTCCCTCATTCAGGTGAAAATTTTGCTGTCGGTATTCCTCTTACCAAATTCTATCTGCTCTAAAGAATGCTGCTTATTGTTCAATAATGATTGTTTTTCTGATATTCCTTTATTTTATAAATGTTCAGTCAATGTCTATGATTTTATGGGTTACTCACTATAACGGAAGTGGATAAGTGGATGTGGTGTGTTTAAGATCATTCCAGAATTTAAAACTACATCTAACTGTATGTGCACATGTGCATGTGTAGTGTGTTTCATGTGTGTTGTCTCACCTTCCCCCTTTCTTGTTGCCTTTATTTAGGCTGTTATGCTGAATAGAAGATTTGATTGAGATGAGGATTGATGTGTAACTAAACCCAACTAATTTATGATGAAGACTAGGTAGAAGTCCTGGGTTAAATTAACCAATGAAAATGAAATTTTTAGCTTTCATTAACTTTCTAAGGATAAACTCATTGATTCCAGCAAGGCCAATCACAGTTTGAAATTTGTCCATTTTTTTTGGGTGAAGATCTCCTTGTTCACAGCGTAATACGCACATGCGAGTGTGTTATAGCATGAATTTCTCAAATGGTTGTTATTTATTCCCAATGTTTTTAGTTTGTAAAATTAGTTGATAACATAATTTTGCAAGCTTGTTAATTTAAAAGAAAAAAATTGCAAGCTTGTTTTATCAACATCAGAACAATCACGTTCTGGTATTCATGGTCATTATAGATAATTATCAATCTTACTTTTTCTTCAATTTTTGCCTGTAGCTCTTTGGACCCTCAATTACAAGATGCATTCAAGGAATATCTTCTAGCCAGGGGAATTGGAGAAAACTTGACCAACTTCCTCCTCCTCACCCTACATAAGAAAGAGCAAGGTCAATATGTGAACTGGTTACAGATTCTTGAATCATTTGTAGCAAAAGACAAGTGAGATAGATTATTATAGACAGTAGGTTGAAGTTATACATGCTTCCACATTTTCGCATCACTGATGCTCTCTTATGTTTAAGTGGAAAAAGTATATTGATCAAGTAATTTAAAAAATCGTTCTCAGATTTTACCCATTGCCATTGATGATGTTATTTCAAAACTTTTTGAACAGTTTTTGTGCCATTCTTTATTACTCTAACATCAGGCAGTGGGTTTGACTCTCCACTACTATATTTGTCCAATTTTTGGTAAAGCACCTAACATCATTGTCTATATATATATAGTTATGTTAAAACACACATGAATGATCAGTAATGATGGATGTATCTTGTAGAAAGTTCTTCTAGTAAGGAGAGAGGTAGTGTTGCAGCAAGTAGAGTGAGAAGAGAAGCAGATTAGAGCAGTCTTTGAAGTTAAAAGTGCTCTTGTGATAGGAGGTGAGGGATAAAAATTAAGGAAAAGGTAAAGAAAGTGTAATGGCAGAGCACGGTGGGAAATAGAGTGGAAAGGGCGAAGTAGAGGAGAGCATTTGGAAAGAGCTTTTTGGAGAGAATATCTTAAGAGTGAGAGTCTATTAAGTTTTTCTTAATAAATTAACAAGGTTCTTATATATATTAAGTAGAAGTAGTTTTTTAGGTGAGGTTGGCTAAAAGGTGTTTATTGGACCAAATGGAAAGACCACATTCAAGGAGAACACATTCATTATGGGAATAACGTGTTAGCCCACTTCTTATATAAGGTAGTGAGTAGACATTTTAGTTTAATTGCACAGTGGAGCTCAATGACACTTTATAATATGTCAGATTTCTTGAGAATTGGGATACAAAATCAAGCTCTTTAAAGCATCTCAATAGTAAAACCAACCAGTGAGCCCTATTATTTGTTCATGATTATTTTTACTGTTAATTACATGATATTACTGTTCTATGTTTGTTCTTATTCTGTAAAACAACTCTTAAACAAATAATAAATTAATCAAAATCAAACATCTATATTTTGCTTCCTAAATATATAAGAATTCTTAATGATAGAAGTTCTTGTGCATAACTAATATAGTAATTTAATCTCATCGATAAGCATGTCTACATGAGACTTGTTATGGGAGGCATGTCTCAGTCTTAGAGAGCAATAATTGTTATACGCATTAGTTACTTTGTGCTTGTTTCAGGTGTCACTATTCGAGGTGTCGTATTGTTTTGCTAGTTAAATAATTTTTTAAAAAATTAGTTGGGAGTAGTGCACTTTCTTGTGCATGGCACTCCTTTCCTATGTTGCAAATTTTTTATTTTTGTTGTGTTTGTCTGTTTGTTACTCCATGCATGGAAAATTTTTTTTTTTTAATTGAAACATCAATAAATTTTCCATGCATAAAGTCAGGTGATGGGAATTAACTTGCTGAAAAAATTAAAGATTTTAAAAGAGAAGTGAATCAAATTCAAAGATTGAAAAGAATTAAAAAACTAAAGCCCAAAAGGAAAATAGATCTTTGCCTTAAAAAATTAAGCCTTCCTCTTTTCTTTTCTTTTTTTTTTTCATGCGCAACCCTTATTCTTCTTCCATATCTCTCTTTCTCTGTTTTTTTTAAGTTTTTTTTTATCTCTTTTTGTCTTATTGTTTCCAACCATTACCTTTCATGCTTGCATGTCTTATAAAATATTTTATACATGTTTCTACATTCAACACGGAAATGAGCAACTGTACAATGATAGTCATTGTACCTTGAGTTAGCATTTTCTTCTGTTGTTGGTGGTCGTGAAACGCAAGGCAAGTTTACATGTCTATCTCTTATATATTCGTGAATAAACACTCTCAATCTATCTAGTAGGATTGAGAATGGTGACAGAAAATCAATCTTTTCATCTTGTCTTCTTCTTAGATTGTCTTATCTAGGATGCAAAGTAGGTTGAAGACTTTTTCTTTCTTGATCTCCTTAAATTGCATTTATTGTTGGGTATTTTTACTCGCAAAATTGTTAGATGAGAGTTAATCATGCATCAAATACAAATAAAATACAACGAAAATAAATTAAAAAATTAAATTATGCCTCACATTCCTAAGATTTCTTTTATACCAAATTGAATGCAGAATTAAATTAAAAATAAAATATATATGATCATATCAAGTTTACTTAAATAACGAAGGTATATGAATCATTTGTTAAACTACCAAATTAGCCTTCAAAAAGATAAGTAGACATTTGAATGAAAATATCGATAATGTTTCAACTAAGCTAAAGTAAGCTACAACTAGCAACAATGGTGGATCTACCTTATAATTAGTGGTGTCACATGACTGAATCTTTGCTTGTCCCCAAGCAAAAAAGAAGAACTAAAAACAAAACAACTAACTAGAGATGCAATTCACCAAAGCATGAATTCTTTTTTTTTGTTTCCCAAAAATTATCTCACAATTTTAACTCAAGGTGAAATATAAATAATCATTAAATTCATGCTCAATTCAATTGTAAGTTTATTTTCAAATGGATTTTACAGTATTTATGTGTGTGTGAATGATCATTTTACAAAGAATATCATACAATCCAAATAAGATTATGCTAATGCAAAATTTAGCTAAGTGTTAGAATTTCATGGGTATGCTTTTCATCTTTCTCTACACTAATGTAGACAAACACTTATTCAAATATCAATAAGTCTTTATTAAGCTTAGAATATAAAGCTAGGGTCTAGGTATGATAAAGGATGTAATGTGACTCACTATCACCCGAAGCACATAATTATTTTAAGACCTATAGAGCGTTATTGTCTTTTACCAGGTACACCATTTTCATCAATTTTTTTTCGTTTTGTTCAACACTTCATCTTTCTCTTTTCTTTTTGGTTATCACAATTCTACACCCCCAAACTTTTTTTTATTGTAGGTAGTGGGGTGAGTTTTAACAATTTTTTGAATTTTTTTTTAGCAACTTCACCTTTCTACCTTTTTCAACATTTAGCTCAATCTATATTTCCTAAAACAATATATATGCTTAGGAGTGGGGGTTGCAAAATTGGAATTTTGTTTTAAGGCTAAGCTTATTATCATATGGTTAAAGTAGGAAAGGAAAAATTAAGTTCAAAAGGGTATACCAGGGATAAAAGTTTAACAAGGTTAGCTTGAAAGGATCAAACAGTTCAAAGATGGCCTAAATCATGTCCCATCCTAAGTGTTATACAGAATTTCGCCTCAAGAGAGAATCAAACAAATTCTATAATCTTTGGCTTCATTATATTTTTATCAACATAAACTTTTTCTAAATTAAATGATAATTCTAAGTAAAAGATTTAGTGTACAAATTATTGGAAATCGCATTGTACAAGTAAACTAACAAAAGAATATCACAATCACTCAATTCATGTCTATATCAAACCAAGAATCAAAATAGAAAGATAATCAAAATATCATCTTAGGATTGGTAATGTCATGGCATAGGCAATTTTCATCTCAAGCATTCCTAAAATAGATCCTAAAAACAAAAAACAATTACAAAAATACTCTAACCTAAAAACATCACAAAAACTAATAACAATAAAACCCTCCCCCACACTTAAATTGCATATTGTCCTCCTTGTGAAAAGCTTAAAAAAAAAAGAAATTAAACTCCCTTATCAATGGTAGTGGTATCTTGAAAGCTCTAATTTTCTTTCTCCTCATCTTCATACTTTCCAAACCTGCATATACAACAAAATAAGCTAAAGAGAGGTTATAATTACTTATTTACAATTTGTGTATGCTTACCCAAGTTCTCAAATTGAGTTCTTCTTGAATAATGCAATTTTGGTATAGCCTTCAAAACATGTATAACATTTGTGAGTTCATCATTCTAGTCTTTTGTTGTTGCATCTTGAACCAAACAAGCTTCAAGGAATTTCTTTGGATTTTCTATATCAATAGCTTCCTTAGGTAACTTATAAATTGTATCTAGAAAAGGAATGGAAGGCGCATATGGCTTGATTTGTGGTGGTGTAGATACTTCCTCCTCTTACTTAACTTCTTCATCTTAGACTTGTTTGTTGGAAGTATTCTCTTGATCTACTTTATCTCCATCATTGACCACATCCTTTCCGTTTACCTCATCTAGATGTTTAGCATATTCTTCTCTTTTAAGATGAGGCTTAATGTCTTTTGGTAAAGTTTCTTGAGGCCTATTATTGATGTAATTAACAAGTTAGCCCAATTGAGTCTCAAGATTTCAAATTGATTCTACTTGACTTTGAATGATGGCATCATTCTTTGTCATGAATTGCATCAACATATCCTCTAAAGTTAACTTCTTCTCAACTATAAGGGCTCTAACTTGTAACTGGAAATCATCCTAGAAAATAAGTTGTGATAAATATATACGACCCTGATCATTACTCCATGAAAAATTTTGGTGATTCCACTATGAGTTGTGACTTTTGGAGTATGAATTGTTTTGCTACCCATTGAAGCTACCATCAAATTGCATTGATTCATAATAGGTTGGACAACAATTGCTTGAATGCCTATCTCCACAAAGCTCGCACACCACAAAAAGACTTTGAAAAATATTAACACTCCAAATATCAATTTTTTGAGACAAAGCATCTATTGGGATAGTCAAAGCACTAATAGTTAATTCATAATCACTAGTAACCCTCCTAGACACAAATTATTTAGATAGCCACTGATAGTTATAATAATTCATCACCTCAACCAAAGTACCTGAAAATGAAAAAAATGAATTAAGACTAAATTTGCTTAGTATTAGTATTAGTAAAAATTTTAGAAAACAATTCCTTGGGAACAGCACCAAAAACTGATCAGTTAAAATTCTACTACATAAGTATGCGTATCAAATATATAGTATAAAGCAAGTAGAGTATCAATCCCACAGAGAATTGATCTAAAATTTTACTAAGTACTAAAATTGGAACAATTTAATTTTATCCAAACAATCAATATCAAATAACTAAATTAATTAACTAAAAATAATTAACCAAAATTTAAACTAAAAAGAAAAAAAAATTAAAGTAATAATCACTAGAGTAAAAATCAAATCAAACAAGCCTAGAATTACAATATCCCTCACACTTCATCTAAATCTTACGTCTCTTCCTCAACTTATTTCAATGGAGTAACTTGTTAACCTAGAGTCCTCAATTATTTATAAGAGTCTCCCAACTAGTCTTATAAAAATATCTTTTTAATCAA